TGAAGTGCGTGAATTTTCGCCAGGTGTGCTATGTTCAGATTGCGATAATGAAGATCTCGTAACATCCTCAGGATTATCCAAAAGTAGGGAGTCGGTAACTTGGTCAATAATTGCTGAGCTTTGAAGCAAGCTATCTCCCATCTCGCTGTTATCAATATCCCCATGTTCGCTGCCGGAAGGACTGGAATGTCCATCTTCTGATGCGTCATCGAATCGTCCACTATCATTAGCAACGGTCGAAGCTTTAACCGATGGCGAGGTTTTCACAGGCCTTAAAAGCGGCGAAGGACGTCTTATTTCCGGCAGTGAAGATTCGGAGGCTCTTAATGACGAAGCAGGGGATGAGAGGGGACTAGGGGAAGCAACCCGATCAAATGCACCCATACTTTCCACAGATATGGCTTGTGTTTCTTCTGATGATCGCTTCTTTTCGGTGGCCCGCCTGGATTCGGTTACGTCAGAGTGCGGAAGTATTGGCGATACAACGGAAGATGATCGAGAGAGAGTTTGGAATATGTTTGCTTCTGTGATAAGTGCTCCCTGAATATTGCTTAGACAGATCAGTCTCTTTCCCTCCTTGAATAACGATGTTATGTCCTTCCCTCCTCTCGTCTGGGGAGACTCAATATCATGTGTAACTCCCTCGATATCGACATCGTCAATCTTCAACTGAACTGTTACTGGATCCGTGGTACGGTTTGGGGTCGGTCCTTCTGCAGGAATATCGAGATCCACATTGAAAGTAATCCCATGCACCCGTACTTGTAGCCTGTCCACAATGCCCTGCAAAAATCTAGCCATGAATGTCGGTAACGAAAGAGCCGTTCCAGTTCCAACAGGTGAATCTCCTCCCTCATTAGACGTAATAGACTCTGATACATCTTGCGTCTCCCCAAGGATTGCGGCTTCCAACTCTTCTTTCTCTTCTTTCGATTCCGTTTGTAGAAATGATGCCGCGAGGTCCTCTGCAGTTGGAAGTGTGGGATCTGAGCCCTGGTTTCTCGATGTCGATATCTTCCTTAACCTGTCATGGTTCGTCCGTGAATTATGTGCACCCTTCTCCTCCCTGACCCTCAACTGCACATCCACTCCATCAACTTCAACCAATATCGGGCTGCTATATATATCGACCGGTATCGTGAGCCGCAGCAGTAAAACTTTCGCTTTGATTAATGCGATCGTGGAAGGAAGTTGTAGTAAAGTCTCGAGTTTCTACATCTCGCATATCAGCATGACATCCTCATCCTCGACGTCAAAATCATGAAATCACTACCTTTAATCTCAACCCAACATCCTTAAATTCAAACGTGCTATTTTTTCCCCACGCAATATCCAAATTCTCTAAATCCAATGCATCCGTCTCAAAGAATTCCAAACTAGAAAGCGCATATTGAAGTAATCGCTTGGGCATCGAGGATAATTGGAAATAAGACGCCATTTTTGGATGCGACTTCGTTAGGCAAGGGATTATTAAAAGTTATTAAAAGAAATCAACGCCTCTAAGCAATGATGTCTTAAAGAACACTGATAAGAAAGAAAATAAGAAGTTTCGGCGGATTTGATGAATAGTTTTGTCTTAAGAAGAGGAAGGGCGGGCTCCTGACGTCGCCTCGTGCACTGATATTGTCCGGGGCAAGATGGGAATCATACTTGACCGTACCCTCAGATCTCAAAGTCGCTACAATTCCAATATATCAATAATTATTGGTGAATGTATTGGTTAACGGACCTTTGCCACTGTTGATGAAGATTCCCTACCGTAATGGCAGGTACTTTGAATGGTTCAGTAATGGATTGTAAGTGGAAAGGTTGAATTAGGTAGAAGATAACGATAAGAGACGCTAAATTTCCTCGAGCGGGTATGGCTTACCGACGTGGATTTATTTATCTAAGTACACAGCATGGGCTGAATGATTGGATTCATTTTTCTTGTCGAACCAATTACTATAATCTACATACCTGGGTATATTGGGATTCTACGAGACATTTCTTCTGTATCATAGGGCCTACGAGAAAACCATCGTGCAGAGGTGTTTGGGATTTGTATATTGTAAGGGCACTCTTGTTCTATATTAGGTTTACGTAGAACGATTTGTTTTATACATAAAGCTACTAGGTAACTTTACGTGTTTTGTTAGTGTCCATGTATGATCATATGATATGATCTGGAGCTCTTTGATATTTGGGATGAAGGTTTAGAAGGCTGAATAGATGAAGCTTCTGAAAGAGAAAAGAAAAAGAAGAGCAGGGAGAGTAGGAAAAGTATTGCATGTAGGGCGGACTCCAAAACTTATATACGATGACTACATGTAATCTTACCACGCACACCAGAAATGTTTACAACTAGGATTACTATAGGTAGATAGTTCAATAATGACCCTCGTGCATGACCATAATATGAGGGAGCCTGGGAACCTTGGGCTATCTAAGTTCTGCACAAGTCCGACTATATAACTGCATGCATAGCATTAGTTGCAAGATAACAAAAGCTTCGGAATTCGTTAATTTTCTCTGTCTTCTATATATGTGATTATAATGTTGAATTTCGACTTCCAATCGAGGGTATCGTGACCCTCCCTAATCATGACCTAAATCGCCGTGTTGAATGCACATGCTTCCCTAACGCAAAACCCATCAACTCCGAGTAGGACAATATTTTCCTCGGCATACTCAATTCAATCTTGAGCATCCAACGGACCATTCCCATCTTCTCTGATCTTTCTCGCACTATCTTCATCATCTCCAAACTCCGTTACTATCCACAAGCAGAATTGCTCCCACTCCACGCTCCATTCTTGCAATCTCTTCGCCCTTAAACCATTTCCCATGGAAGCTTCCTTAACATCCTCCAACCATTTACCTGAGCTTTGATCCTCGAACGCTGCCCATCTTACACTATTTTCAGCCAGCGAACCTAAGCCAGCAAGTCCAAGATTATCCCAGCCTTGCAGAGCTTGCCAGAAATCATGTGTCATACCATTAACATCCTGACCAAGAATCGAAGGGTCGTCGTTACAGAGAGAGCAGGAAACTCCTCGTGCGAGAAGCGCAGGTAGAGGATGTGACATGATCGAAGCGCAGAGGCGGAGGACTTCGTTCGAGATTGGACAACTCTCCACGAGAATCTTCTTTTCCTTGACCAAATCAATCAACAAAGGATGCTTGTATAAGGAAAATCCATGACCAATACGACGAGTTCCGAGTAGAACAGCATCGAAGAGATTCTGATCAGTATCGCTACCATCACCAAGACATTCTCCTGCATGAAAGAAGAAGGGGATTTCGACTCCTTCTTGCGCACACTGTTTTTTGAACCAGAAAAGCTCTGGCAAAAGATCTTTTAATGGTCTTCCAGCATCTTCTTGACCAACAAGATCATATCCGGATATGAGATGCGGGTAAGTCATCTTGATTGTTAAACAAGCATCCATATCTTCTACGATCTTTCTTGTATCCAAAACTCGAAGACCAGTCCAAATCATCCTAGCTCCCCAGAATCCCTTGCCCTCTTCTGATGCCTTAAACTTTTCGATTTCCTCTCCGAAAACTTTGAACATATTGCTGTATGTATCATCTGCTACCTCTTGACCTTCACGGTAATAAAAGAATGTGAAAGCCAGCCGTAAATCCACCCACTTGACACCATCAGCAAGCAAAGTCTGCATCATTCTCTTCATGAACGCCTTGAATATAGGCTCATAGAAGATGACTGTGTTCAAAATCGTGAAAACCGAAGAGAACTTCCTCCAGACTGCATCAACACCGTGATGATGTTCAATAGACTCAGTATCAGTAATAGTGCATCGACTCCGAAGCCAACGTAAAAACCCCTCTCGTCCACCTTCAGGAAAAGCCTCCGCAGCATCCTTCAGGGGCACAAAACTAAATGGTTTATACCCCTCCTTCCATATCTCCGCACCTTCTCCATCTCCCTTCTTCCGGAACCTAAACTTAACAGGCCCCGCCTCCCTACTTTCAGGCGAATCCAAAGCTCTATCACAGAAAATGCACATGCCCTCTGTCTTCAGCATTTCCTCAAACAAGAAATCATAATCGACCATCGCATCCATATGCGCATGCAGAAGTGCGCCCTTTGGCATCTTCTTCACAATCTGCCATAATTTTGTCTTCTCCATCCTTCCCTTTGCCAGACTGAACATCATACCTGGATATATATTCTTCCCCGTTTCTTGCGCGACATGGTCCTCGAATTCCGAGGTCCACATCGAGGCTTGTTCTTCGAGACGGATGCGGGAGACGATGTTGCAGGCTTCTTGCGCGAGAGGTGATAGGGCGGATCTGAATGCATAGTCTGTTGTCAAAATTATAAGTATGTGACGAATTTGTACTCCAAAGAGATATTACGAACCACTGCGCTGCTGTTTTTCCTGGTCTATAAGTGCTTCCCTTCCACCAATGTACTTGTTAATGAACGGTTCATCCTTTGCAGGAAGACCAGCAGCTATTTCGGCATATTCATCGTCTGGTATTGTGGATGGCCATGGAAGGTCTCTGACTCTATTAGACATGCTTGCAGACCAATTTAAATTGATTGATGAATTGTTGACATATAAGAGCTTGACGATATGAGAAGTAGAATAGCTAGGGAAGCTTGGGAAGTGTCTAGCAAAGCTATTTGAGTATCTGAAAAGCTCAAAGAGTGGAAACAATCTAATTTCCAATTTTCTCCTCACTCCACTAACAAATCTTCAGATATCAATCTTACGTAGATCACTTTTGGTATGATGAATCATCGGCTAAAGATTACAGAATAGGTAGGTAGTAATTGTTACACCAAAGCAGGAATGGGGGATGGCGGGGTCCTTCCGATAAGAGCGATAAGCATTTGGTAAGATTTTCTAAAATTACCCTTATCCCTGATGAGTGGGAGCGTGTTGGTTTCGCTACATATATGTTACGTATTGGTGTGACCTACAAAAGTAGGATTGATACTCTTATAAAAAGGTAGTCTGAGTAGATTCAAGGGTTCGAACTCATTCTTTACGCCCTTAAATTACCGAGGACGAAATGAGTCCAATACATCAGATTTCATTGGTTAGGAACTAGTTGGCCGCTTAGAGAGCCGACTATTGGTTGAAGAAGATCTCTTGGTTGATATCACCTACCAACACTTCAGGTGTGTTGATGAAATATTAGGGGTGCTGCGTACATGTTTTGGGTGCCCGCGGGAATGAGAGGGCAGATACAAAGAGGAAACCTTTTCTGACCTATTTCCACCGGAGCAGGCTTATGATTGTCCCAATTCGTATCATACAATCAATCACGCTCATACCCTCCCTCACATTGCCGGAGAATACACAGCAAGTTCGGTTATTCTTCTCCGGTCATCGAGAGCGTACTAAATGTAAAGTTTGAGAGAACCGTATTATATCATACCACATTCAGCTCTATAGCTCTAATTATATTACGCCAATCTTGGAATGCCTTATTGACGTGCTGTTCTCCCAATATTTCTGTCCTTGTATCTAGATGATGATCTATAACATGCTCTTTGGCATATTCTTAAGGGCCTGCCTAACTCCCAAATCGCCCAATACCTCCTCGGCCCCGCCCAAGATAGCATCGAATTTGTACCTTGAAAATATTAGCAAGATTTCTTTCCAGTCGAAACTTCCCATTGCATGGATACTCACGTTCTATGGAACATCTCAATGGTTCTTCCCATCCCACTCTGAGTAAGTGCACGTCCACCAAAAATCTGCACTGCTTCATCTGCACATTCATGAGCTGAACGGGTAGCGAACATCTTAAGCAGACCAATTGGACCTGCGAGATGAGTTGCTTGTTGTTTGTATGGCATCATAGTCATCTGATATGTGATATTCTCTAACCATGCTTGATTCGCTTCACAGTGAGATATTATCTTAGCAAGCCTAGAAAGGTCAGTTGGTGGTTTCATCTGCACTTGAAGGAGCAAAACTTACTTTTGTCGGATGACTGGCTGATCAGTCAATTTCTTGCCAAATACCAATCGTTGATTACTCCACTTGATACATTCCTCTGTTGCTAGTCGCATCATGCGAATGACACCACTAGCCATCATCCATCTTTCATGGTTGAAGTTACTAAGAATAACGTGGATACCCTTGTTCTCTACTCCCAAGAGATTCTCAACTGGTACCTTTACGTTATCGAAAGTGACATAGGCAGTTCCGGCTGTAGGTGAGTAGGAGGTTTTTATTGGTGTTGTCTCTACACCCTCGCCTCTTTCAATCAATACGACAGACAGTCCCTTGGCTAAAAAGGGTGTTAATATGTGATTGAGCATGAGAATTGATTTTTAATAGTACCTGTTTTAACACCAGTTACGAAGTAATCGCAAAAGACTCCATTGGTGATCCATTTCTTAGTACCATTTACGATATAGTGTTTGCCATCTTTGGTTTTCTCCGCCGTTGTTCGAATACCTGCGACATCAGATCCGGCAAATGCTTCAGTGATGGCCAAGCAAATTTTCTTCTTTCCGCTAAACACCTCTGCGGCAATCTTGTTCTTCCATGCCTCATCGTTGGCAAATTGAAGAACTGCCGTCAGGGAAATTGTCATACCAGCCTGAGATTAAGTGTTAGTCATGCATTGAAATATAGAGTAGACTCTACATAAAAACATGGATTCATAACTAACCATATTACCATCTTGAAACCCTCTTGCATTGGCGCGAACCATCTCCTGTCCAACAATCATGTCATGAAAATAATCGAACTCCTCCCCCTTCACGGCGCCATCCATCAAGTTAACACCATGTAAATGTTTCCCCGGGCCTAATCTCATATGTAAGATCCCCATCTTCGACATTCGATCAATCAAATGTTGTGGGATATGCGCTCCAGTTTTTTCACACTCCTGAGCAATAGGTGTAACATATTGATCCGTAAAAATTCTCATTGCCTTTTGCAACCTCCTATGACTTTCGTTATAATAAGGACTTTTAAATTGTGGAGTTAACCATGTGGGCTCTCCATATGGCACGACACTCAAATCCCCGACATTCTGTTCAATGACTTGCGATTTCTCGCCCTCAATTGTGGCAATACATAAATTCGAGTATTTCTGCAGGACTTCTTGTCGATGTAGGTTATAGAATGCTTCGGTCGCATCTGTGCCAGCGACTTGTCTCAGGACGGATTCTCCTCCTGGATGAGCATCGACGAATTCAGTGGCATCGTAGACCTTGCTGTCGATTATAAACCAGAGAGATTCCTCGGTATTATTTTTGGAGACTTCATCTCGCGTGAGGGTGTGGTGAGGCATTGTGATGTATTGAAGGAAAGTGAATGGATGATAGTATATGACTTCGGCGCGAGATAAAACAATAAATGAGAGAATTAGTGCAAGAAAGGAGAAGAAAGGAAAGATACAGAGTCTGCTTAACCTGGGGGCTCCGGAACCATTGGAACGCGCCGTGATTGCTATTTGCAGTGGAGAATGTACCGAAACCTGGGGAACGGGGGCAAAATACCGAGGTTCAATCCACCAATTGGCGTTCTCTAATTACTAGCATGTCCGGACTGCAATCCAAAGTTTTCGGATATTTGAATTATACTCGTCAATTGGTACTCGCTGGCGTCAGGTAAGTACACCAAACAACCTGAATAATACCAGCTCAAGATAATCGTATTCAAGCAGGTTGTAGTTCCGCAGCGCATTCCGTAAGCTTTACTCATGCTTCACCCGGACGAATCACAAAATGTACATGTTTTCCAAGCCGCACAAAGGCTCCCGCGGGAAAATCAACGCATTAGGTAGGTATCAAATACGAGGGCGTGTTTACGTAAGCGAAATAAGAGGCGGAAGTTGAGTATCATTCAGAAGGACTTTGATAATTCGAATCTCTCTTCAATATTATATTGGATATATATATAGTTTTAACGTTAATATAAAGAAGGCTCAAAATTTCTTTTTTTCCCCTCAAAATTTAGTATTTGATTTGAAATTAATTTATAATTCAATTGAGAAGTTCTTCAAAAGAGAACTTAATTCTCGTCTCTTATTTCGCTTATAGAGTACGTGTTTTTAATAAGAGCTCTAGCTTTCTAAACGAGAATATCGAACCTTAATAAATAATAGTAACTTATATATTAATCTATATAATAATACATTATTTGTTACGAAAATCTCCGTACTCTATATACGACATTACTATTAATCATTAAAAGCTTTACATTTATAGTATACTACCTCGTAGCGTAGCTTATATAAGGAATACCTATAAGTAGTATAGTTTCTCTAGAGAGTAATAAAATAGCTTTTATAACCCTATAACGTTTTTCCTATATCATTATTATATTAGTAATTTACTCTTATTTAAACGCGCGACTTCGTTACTTATTTAGAATATAAAAGATAGATATAATTCTCTTACTATATTAATATTTATAAGATATTTTGATAATTTTTATTAAATAGTTAGATTATTATTAAACTTTAAAGATTTAAGAAAGAAAGTAATAATCTTATTATTTTCGTATATACATAAACACGAGCCCTTAATTAAAACACGCTCTCGTAAATTTATTACTATTATTAGAGATTATTATAAGTCTATAAAAATGCTTTATTTATTTCTAATTAATGTTAAACTCTAGCTTTCTTCTAATTTACTTCTAATTAATACTTATAGAAGAAGAATAGAGTGTATATGAAATGTGTCTATTCGTATGTGTATTATAGTATCGCTTAAGTTAGAGGATCAGTCTCTTATTTATAAATACTATATAACCCCGATGAGAATTTGCGTGGTATATTTATCTAAAGTAATAAATCGGACATTCTAGGCTTAATCATTCCCTCTTCGAGACAACAACAAGGAAGATGACGAAGTGCGAACGCGGAGAAGAAACAAAGTACCTCGGATGAACCACTTAGTCTACCAGGTTGTTTAGATCGGCCAATCATATCTCATATATCGTATCCATCAAATCGTTCCATCTGAGATACATCCAGATGCCGGAGACAAGACATGGGTATAGCTGCGATCCCAATGTAATTATTCACTATCTCAGATCTTTCTCAAATTGGAACAGTTTCCGATGCATACCAAGCCCGGGATTGACGGAATTCAGAGCAATGGCTTTGGACAGGCGCAGCAACAGCTTCCTTACATGTTTCCCGCGTTTCCGGAAAGAATATGGGGTATATAATTCTGATCCTGTCTGAAATCTCATCAAGATGATTCAATGATCGTTGCGGAAACCATTTTTCAAGCTGAAGCCATCTATCTTTGAAATTGAACAATATGCATCTCCAGGGTATCACCACATGGCTCTTGATCTCCCTCACTGCGGCCCTGCCTGCTCCAGAAAGACGTCAATTGGCACCTACAGTTCAAATTTCACATGCCAAAATCGTCGGGACTAGCACATCAGGAATTGACACATTCAAGGGAATACCGTATGCCCAGCCACCTGCCGGATCTCTCCGCTTGAAACCACCCAAAAGTATCACCAAAACCCTGGGAACTATTCAAGCAACCAGTGTCCCCACAGCTTGTCCCCAAGTTTCTGCCTCCGGTCCCATCGGCGAGGATTGTCTAACACTCAACATCCAACGCCCCTCAAACATCACTCGACACTCTAAACTCCCCGTGCTCTTTTGGATATACGGCGGCGCTTTCGCAGACGGCTCCACCCAATCGTTTGACGCAACGCAGCTTCTTCAAACCTCCATTTCGAGTGCCCAACCTTTGATTTACGTAGCTGTAAATTATCGTCTAGGAGGTTTCGGGTTTCTAGCCGGTTCCGAAATCCTCAAAGATGGTTCTTCCAATCTCGGCTTATTAGACCAGAGATTAGGCCTCCAATGGGTCGCCGACAACATCGCTTCTTTTGGAGGCGATCCTGATAAAGTCACCATATGGGGCGAATCCGCAGGCTCAATCTCAGTATTTGACCAAATGGCTCTCTATGGCGGCCAATACCATTACAAAAACAAGCCCCTCTTCCGTGGAGCAATCATGGATTCCGGCGCCATCACGCCCGCCCAAACAGTCGATAGTCCGCGGGCCCAAGCAGTATACGACCAAGTCGTACTCGCGAGCGGTTGTCGAAATGCCACCGACACACTCCAATGTCTCCGCACGCTCCCTTACGAAACATTTCTCGCCGCAACCCTCACTCTCCCCTCCCACAAATCCTACACCTCCCTCGCACTCTCCTATCTTCCCCGTCCCGACCACAAAAACGGCGTTCTCCCCGCCTCCACCGAAGTCCTCGCTTCCCACGGCCACTTCGCCCCCATCCCCTTCATAATCGGCGACCAAGAAGACGAAGGCACAAATTTCGCTCGCGTCCAAACAAACCTCACCACCACCGCCCTCTTAACCTCCTACATGCAAACCATTTTTTTCCCCTCCACTCCCCCTTCCAAAATCGCCTCCCTCGTCGCCGCCTACCCCGATGACCCCTCCGCCGGCTCCCCCTTCAACACAGGCACAAACTGGAACATCTACCCACAATACAAACGTCTGGCCGCTCTCCTCGGGGACATCGTCTTCACGCTTTCCCGCCGCCTCTTCCTATCCTACTCATCCCACATCCACAAAAACGTAAAAATGTACTCCTACCTCTCAAGCTACGGCTACGGAACCCCCATCCTGGGTACTTTCCACGGAAGCGACATCGGTGTCGTCTACGGCCGATCCCTCGGGTTTCCCCAACAATCAATACAGAAATACTACCTCAATTTCCTGTATACTCTCGATCCAAATCGCGGCGCGGATCGTCTTGGATATGGATATGGCAGCGACGGTAATCACAATTCCCATCCCAGCACAAATACAACCGCAAATACAAATACTACGCAAACTCTCATCTGGCCCCCTTACACCCCGGAGAAAAAACAACTTTTAAATTTCCAAGCCGCGCAGAATGTATTGATTACGGATGATTTTCGTCAGACGCAGTATGAAGTGTTTAAGGATCTAGTGGGGGTTTTGCATGTGTGAGTGAGGAATGAGATGTGAGAATAGCTTTCATTGATTATTGGCGTTTGATTATATGCTACCGATGAAGAAACGAAGGGAGGATAGGGACGAGAATGAGGAAGAGGAAAGGTGTAAACGGAGAGGATGCTTGTATATTGTACACCATATACACACCATACTGATAGAGTGTTGGTATCACGGTGATATTTTGTGCATAATGATGCTTAGACTACCGATAACCGGAAAGGGAAAAGTATGTTGTTCTCAAAGCCCTTTCCAATAGTAATATAATACTCAGCCTCACTTGAGTACAGATATTGCCAGTTTCCTTATAATTTATGTTAATTTGCTTGCTAAAATCTGTCTACAGATGTGTAGAGGGTAACAAGCGTAAGTTAGTGAAACCTGCACCATGGTATATATATGCCTCATCCCCAATCTCATTGTCACATCCCTAGTCCCATTGCCTCACTCCCAATCCCATTCCTCCATCCCCGGTTCTATTGCCCCGTTCCCAATCCCTTACCCAAACCATCCATACCCCAATTTGTACGCTAAAATCACAGACTACCAAACACCATCCATTTATCCACGCCGGGATTTCATAAAATCATAGTATCCAAGCATCCATCAACTATTTCTTCTCATCTTCAACCTCCGCTTCATGATTTTCCCATCTTCTCTTAACCATTCGAACCCATCTTCTCCTTCTCCATTCTCCCCTTCTACCGGGCCCGTCAACCTCACTCGCTTCCTCCCAACTAATCGGTACGCCTTTCTTCCCTCTCAAACTTCCCAAATTACTAGTACTCCCTGTATCCATGACGCCCACAGAATCTTCCTCTTGTCCCTCATACCTAATATCATAAACCCATCTTTCACCCTCTGTTTCTACTTCTACGCCCGTGATAATTCTTTCTTCAACCCATTCCCTACTCCACAAATCTAGAGCCCATTTCTTTTCGCTCCATTCCCAACCTCTTGGGCTTTTTACATCCTCGAAAAAACGACAACCGATTGGCCGTCCAGTTTCAATTCGCATACTACTCATAGGATCATAAGGTGAGCTGCTGAATACCCAATGTTCCCACTCGCCTGCACGGGAAAGCTTTTGGAGCTCGAATATTTCTACTTCGCGGGTTTCGAGAGAAGAATCGAGGATGATGTCATGAGAAATGAAGGTTTCAAGACTAGTTTGGAGGGGTTTCGCGCGCGGTTGTACGACTGTCGTATGTGTTGTGATCATTTGGCGTTGAATGATTGGATGACCGAGAGACGTAATGGTCCAGCCTATTGTGAGGAAGATGAAGCGCCATGGCATGAGATGAGAAGCGATGAACATAAATGCTGCTGTTACTACGAGGAAAAGAAACAGAGTAGATGACAGTGGTTCGTTGGAGAAATTTGTGGAAGGAGATATTAGAGCAATTACTGTATCGTGTAGGCGAGAGAAATCTTCCATGCAATTTTGGAGGTCGCGCATGTTTCGGAAGAAATCTTTAGAAAGCTCTTTAACGGGTTTGACAACTGGCGCTGGAGCTATTGGTGGGCCTGTTGTGGAATATGTGAACGAGTCCGTAGTTATGGTTGTAGGAGGTGCGGGGTGGCGAGCAATGAATGAAGGTATGAGGATTGCGAGGAGAAGAACCGCCAACGGAAGAACGGTAAGAAGATATGGATCTAGGCAGACGAAAGTATATACTGCAAGAAATGAGAGAGTATGCGAGCATTGTTTCCAGCTTAGTAGACGTATCACTTTGGCTTGGAAGACAAAAACCACACCTATTCTCGCATTAAATCTTCTGAAATTATTCGACATGGTCGTTATATTGAAAGCAGGCCTCTCAACGAAATTCGGAGGAGTAGCAGCCGCATCTTTTCCATTTTCGCCAAGGTCCTCAATTGGTATTACCTGTTGTAGTAATCTGTTGC